AAAGTTCGCTCGTCACATACTTTTTCTGTGGAGTTATGTATGGTGAACATGATATAACACACACACACACACACCCCCCCCCCCACACACACACACACACACACACACACACACACAAATACACACACACACACACAGAGTTTCATTTTTGCCTTACTCTCTCCCTCCCCTCTTTCCCTCTCCTCTCCTCTCCTCTCCTCTCCTCTCCTACTTGTCATGAAAAGATGGTGCGACTTTGAGGCTTAGCGAGTGCTGTATGTAAACTTATTTTGCGTAGGTTTTATGGACATACTTTATTATTATTATTATATTTGATCATTTTGTTTACGACTTCTTTCTCTTGAGTATAAAAGCATGTGTTAGCAGTCGTTTGATTGATTGATTGATTGATTGATTGATTGATTGATTTATTGATTTGTCATCGTGAATACCTCCGGTGTGAGAACAAGATGTTGGGTAAATTGGTGTGCGACTTTTCTTATATGCATTCCGAACGGACGAAGTGCTTAGTTTGGTGAACATCTAACCACGTGGGCGAGGAAGCCATGGAAGAGAAAGATAGGGAGGAAGTAGCAAGGTGAGACGAAATAGAATGCAGAGAAAATCGGAATTAATTAAAACAAAAAACCCTACGCCTTTTCCCATCCCGCTTCTTCCGTCTGCGACGCCATACTCCTAACGCTCATCCTCCTGTGTGTGTGTGTGTGTGTGTGTGTGTGTGTGTGTGTGTGTGTGTGTGTGTGTGTGTGTGTGTGTGTGTGTGATCGCCCGGGGTTTGAGATGTGACGTAGCCATGGTGGACGCAGAACGAGGCTCCACAAAGAAGATCCTTGTTTGCCACAAGAAATACTGGGTGTCCTCGTAGGAGCAACCTTAAGGCCTGAGCAGATGCAAGTGGTTGACCCCCTTGCTTGTGTGCTTTGCCCCCTTGCTTGTGCATATCACAAATTTTTTCTTTTTTTCCAGTTGTTTTTTCTTTTTGATTTTTGTTTTTGCCTTCTTTTTCCCCCTTTCCCTTCCTTATGGTCTTGATGAAGTGATTGTTTATCCTGGTTTCTCCACTGATTGCAGGATAACCATATACTTGTTCGATGATTCTGATGTTGTTCGATTTCAACTTCCTCGCACTCGGTTATTCTCTTCTCTGTCCCTGGTAAGTACGAAACGGGACCATCTGCTCCAGCTCCTCCTCCTCGCCCAGCAGGAATATACACATCACCCTCTCGCCTCACGCTTCCGTTGTTGCCATCCGTCCACCCACCGCGAAAGATAATCGGTTGATTGAGCGTTGTATAGGCAATCAATCGCGAAAAAGGACAACGACATAAGCAACTGAAGGAGAACATCGGCTGGAAGGTAGAGAGAGGGATCACCCCTTGTTCGCCCGCACAAAGCGATATACTTAATACGTCATTCACCTGTGTGTGTGTGTGTGTGTGTGTGTGTGTGTGTGTGTGTGTGTGTGTGTGTGTGTGTGTGTATACTCACACGACCAGGAGTATTGTAACTCACCCCTTGACCGTAATTGCGGTCAGAAACACTCGTTTTGGGAGTCGTGATTGTGACCGGATACGTCCAACAGGAAAGTGCTACCCTTCTTCCGCCGAATACAACGTACGGTCATTATAGCTGTATTTAGACTGAAAGATAATTCAAATTCAACTATAATGACGGTACGTTGTATTCGAGAGAAGACTGTAGTGTGCATACGATCTACGAGAGCGGAATGAGGGCGAGAACGGTGTTGGCCGTGCTCTGTGGCTAACGATGTCGATGAAAGGCACGGGAGGGGTGACGAAGATGAGCCAGACGGAACAAGGTGAGAAAAGGAGGAGGAGGGGGAAGAAAAAGAGCAAAAGAGGAGGAAGTTGGAGGTGTATAATGGTTCCACTTAGGGCCCGGTTGCACTCCTTGTCATCCGCCAACGTTTTGAATGCATCTGGACTCAAGTTTGTCCAGATGCATTCAAAATGTTGACAGATGGCGAGTACTGCAACTAGGTCCTTAGTGGGGCACACACGAGGATCGCAGGGGAAAGTTTCGTCATGCCACGTGGCAAACATCTGAGTGATGCAGGGATGAGGGTAAGAATGGGAAAACAGCAGCTGGACTACAACAGCAGAGATGAAGATCTCGAGGGCGAAGTTTCACCGTACCATCGGGGGGAAAGGGGTTTTGTTGTGGAACGCAGAGTGAAGGTTGTGATCTGAGTTGATGGATGAAGTTGCATGAGGAGGAGGGAAGCATGAGAAAGGAAAAGAAAAGCAGCGAGTGAAGGTGGATAGGAGTGTGCTTCCGCGTACACACGCACACACACACACACACACACACACACACACACACACACACACAGAGAGAGAGAGAGAGAGAGAGAGAGAGAGAGAGAGAGAGAGAGA